CTTGCCCCTTGCACAAGCCTCACAAACTTTATCTTCCTTGAACTTGATGTTAGGCAGCCCTATCACCAGGTCCTTGGAGACTAATTTGTTGAGTTGACTCAGACTGGCATGTCCAAGTCTCTTGTGCCAAATGAGGGGATCACTATCCAACACACTTAAGCAAGTGAATTCATTTTCTGAAAGTGTGGACAGATCTACAACATATATATTTTTCACTCTTTTTCCCTACAAAATAATCATGTCAGTGGTAAGATTAATCACAAAGCATTTGATAGAGGTAAATGCTACCATGTTACCTCTATCACACAATTGTGATACATTTATTAGACTGTACGTTAGTCCATCTATCAAGTAGACATTCCCAATAGAGTGAGAATCAATCTTACCTACCTTTCCAACCCCAATGATCTTACCTTTCTTCCCATTTCCAAAGGAGACATTACCTCATTTGAGGTCCTCAAGTGAAAGGAACTGGTTCTTCCTTCCTGTCATATGCTTTGAGCATCTACTATCCATGTACCATATTTGGCTGCTCCTCTTCACTTGGGCCTGCAAAGGAAATCAGGGGTTAGTCTTAGGAACCCAAACTAGTTTGGGTCCCTTTCTATAGGCAAAAGGATGAATCAAATTCTTTTTATCCCAACTTGGTACCCTATTCTTCCCTTGAACAAATTCTTTGTTCTTTTGACTTGCCTTTTCTTTTGCAGTGCATCACTTTTATAGTGACATGTTTTACCACAGTGTGTGCAAATCTTGTTCTCAAGAAGTGTGAGGTACTTGCTTTTGGGGTCCCATTTAGGTGGCAGATTCCCAAAGCCAAGTCCTCTTATGTTGCTACTATGATGTTCCTGTAGCCATGAAAGTACATCGGAGGACCTGTTCCATTTATAAGTTCTGTCCAGCTTATGCTTGAACTTGTTTAGATCCTCCTTTAAGATTCCTACCTGCTCATCCCTCTTATATAACTCATCTTTCATTTTTCCTACATTTTCTTCTAGAGTGAGTTGTGTGTGATCAGTTGTCTTCTTACCTGTTCCTAATTTTAATTTTAGATTTTCAGATCTAAGTTCTAAGACATTTAAATCAAGTGCATGAACCTGGTTCTTTAAAGTAGTATTTTCACTTACATATTCACTAACCCTAAGTTCCAGGTTTTTGCACTTTGCTTTCAAAATCACACATTCTTTAGATAGTTGTTCCTTTTCATTGTTTACATCCTCAGATTCATCAATTAGATCTAGAAGTAACTCAGATAGCCTTTCTTTAGACAAAAATTTAATCTTGTCTTTGAGATGAATTACACTTACCTCAGTTTCCTCATCAGATTCTCCAATGGCCATAAGTGCTTGTTCATCCCCATCATCATCATCTGAGCTTTCATCTAAGCTTTCTCCCCAAGCAGCGACCATAGACTTGGTTGATCCTTTTTTTTTCTTGGGTTGAACATGTTCCTTCTTCTTGTTCCTTCGTTCAGCTCTTCATTGAGGCCAGTTTTTGATGTGGTGATCAGTCTTCCCACACTTGTAGCATCCTTCATTGGTTTGCTTTTCAAGAACCTTTGGCTTGTTATAGCTTCTACTTCTTGAAGGACCCTTTTCTCTCCTTAGGTACTTCTTGAAGTCCTTTGTGATCATAGCCATTTCATCATCTTCTAGATCAGAGCCTTCAGTGATTCTGAGTGCAAGGCTCCTTTCCTTGTTAGGTACATCCATCTTCATGGTTTGCCTCCTAAGTTCATAAGAAGTAAGATTTCCAATTAACCCATCCAATAGAAGAGTGGCAATGGTCTTTGATTCCTGAATGGCAGTGATTTTGCTCTCCCAAGTAACAGCCAGAACCCTTGTCAAAATCTTCTCAACTCTATCTTCTTCAGGAATAATCCTTCCAAGAGACTTTAGTTCATTTGTCAATATAGTGAACCTTGTATACATCTCTTGAATGGTTTCCCCTTCCTTCATGGTAAAGTTCTCATATTGAGAATACAATAGAGTTCATCTAGACTTCTTCACTTGAGGTGTTCCTTCATGGGCCACTTGTAGAGTGTCCCAAATTTCCTTAGCAGTGGTACAACTTGGATTCTACTATACTCATTTGGACCAAGTCCACAAACAAGCCATTTCTTGAATTTAGCATTCTTCTCCGATTTCCTCAAGTCCTCAGCAGTGCAGCCAGCTCTTGTCTTTGGCACGTCTACTCCTTCAGCATTTTTCTTCAGTGTAGCCAGTGGACCATCGGTGACAATGTCCCATAGCTCATAGTCCTCTCCTATGATGTGATCTCTCATCCTGTTTTTCCACCAGGAGTAGTACTGGTCGTTAAAGAGTGGTGGCCTAGCAGTAGATTGCCCTTCCTAGTTTTCAGGTGGTGCACTCATCTTGATCTTCTCCAAAGGTATTAGCCTTTTCAAGGATAACCCGCTCTGATACCAATTGATATTTTGTATGCCAATGCCACACAAGAGAGGGGTGATTTGTGTGGTGTCCAATTTTCGCATGCACTGATTATAGAAGGACCTGGTTCTTCTAAGTATTCCTTAACCTACTGTTGCTGAAATAGTAAATGCGGAAAGTAAAGAACACAAGTATTTTTACATGGAAAACCCCCGGCTCAAAAGATGAAAAAATCACGACTTACTACTCAGTAGGATTTTTTCCAATACTTAACTAAATCAATGAGCCAAAACAACATTTATAAAAACTCTTTGTAAACCTAAGGATTACCTCTAATCCCGTTGTGGCAACCAACCTCTAACTATTGCGACAACTTCAAGTTAACTCTAACTTGAATACTTAGAGTACCTATTACAATTGCTTCTAGATAAAGATGAAAGGTACAATTTGAAAACCACCTACTACAATTGAACTAGAATAAAATACAGACGCTTGGAACTAGTTCTTCTATCTGGTTCATGTAGCTTCAGGTTTGCACACTTGAATCACACAAGAATTGCTTGCAAAATGCCTTGCTATTTTGCTCTCAACTCACGTTTTACTTCTGTGTTTGTGCGTGCCTGTAGAATGAGAACACCATACAATAAATAGAGTTAGGAAATCAAGAAACAACTAGAGTTCCAATGCTACTCTTCCTTGGTGGAAGAGTTCTAGTTGTTCTCAACTTCTAACCCCTCCCTTATCTTGGATAGTGTTCTCTTTGAGTAAGGAGTCATTCTCCTTATCAATTATGCAACCTTTTCGATCAGGAGATATTAGATGTATCATGTTAAGCTTATCTCATTCACGTGCATCCCTTATGCTCGAATCTGCCCGTGTCTGTGTACACAGGGGATGGACCTGGTTCATGCCTGAGCTTTCTTTGTCAATCTTCAAACAAAACTTCACTTCGGCCAATGGGTGCTATTTGAGGTTTTAGAACACAGAAATAATTATTAAATTTAAAGATGATCTATCGGGTCATCACACGATTGCATCAGAAGGAAGAAATTTCCAGATTTCTTCCAAGTCCAAAATTTAGTCTGCTAACCATCCAAAACTCACCCAAGGCCCCCGGGACCTCAACCAAATACACCAACAAGTCCTAAATCATCATACGAACTTAGTCAAATCCTCAAATCACAAACAACACTAAAACCACGAATCATACCCAAATTTTAAGCATAATGAAACTAAGAAATTCCAACTTCTACATTCGATGCTGAAACCTGCCAAATCAAGTCCGATTGACCTCAAATTTTGCACACAAGTCATAAAAGACATAACAGACCTATTCCAATTTCCAAAATCGAATTCCGACCGCGATATCAAAAAGTCAACTACTCGGTCAAACTTCAAACTTAAATTTATATTTTAGTCATTTCAAGCCTAATTTAGCTATGGGCTTCCAAATAATTTTTCGGACATGCTCCTAAGTCCAAAATCACCATTCGGAGCTATTGGAATCATAAAAACTTTATTTCGGGGTCGTTTACACATAGGTCGACATCCAACCAACCTTTTCAACTTAAGTTTTAAACTTTGGAACTAAGTATTCCCATTCATTCCAAGACTTCACCGGACCCGAACCAATTACCCCAGCAAGTCATATAACAACTGTAAAGTACAAATTGAGCAGTAAATAGGAGAACGGGGTTGTAATACTCAAAACGATCTGCCGGGTTGTTACAGTTCTTCCTCAAGTTGTCAACGCAACCCTTTTGCAGAGAGCGCAAGAATTCTTCTGCATAAGCCACTCGGCGACGCAATTAAAGTGGAAGTTGTGTCCACAATCAGCAAATCTAATGGTATGCTCATCACAAAAGTTGTCCTACTTTACCAGAGGGGTATTTTTTAGTAAGGCTATCTAACTTACCTGCGCGGGAAACAACCAAATGAATAAGCCTTTACCAAACAAATACAATACCTATCATTGTCATTTATAGATACGTCAATCGATTGATACTTGATCAATTTCGTACGTGCAAAAATGAGTTCCTTGCTCAATCCTGTAACTGATATATCCAACCTGGTCTTGAAAGACTAACAAAACCTAAATCCCAGACCACAAATTGTGAGGAAAAGTATTCCATAAAAATAATAGACTTTTTTACTATTTTTCTTCTTGTTTGTCTATTATTACCTCATAACTCATGTTCTCTACGACAGCCAACGTGGACAATTTAATAAAGGAAAAATAATGTTGGAAGGTAGCAAGTACTCCATGGAAATGAAAAACTTAGACAATTTAATAAAGGCAAAATAAACTATCATGTTAACATTGGTAAATATATACATAGCTTAAATTCTCCTTTTATTTTAGCAAAATACATTTCATAAGTTCACTGGTAAATTGCGAGACATATAACCAAAAATCTGATATGGCCCAAGTTTTGCAAGTCCAAGTGCCCTCTATACGTACTTTATTCTGCATTCTATACTTCTATTGAACATCTGGTATATGAATCGCCATCTTTCAAGCAATTCAACATAAACAACAATTTTTTCTCCCACTCAGAGTGCACAACACATACACTTGCATTGCACATTATCGATTTTATAAAACTGCTATCAAGGTTTGAAAGGTCTTATTAATTGTCATCAAAAGTATAACAAATTGCTTAAATTGAAATAAACGTATATATAGGTTCAAAGCAATAAAATTCAAGTTCCGGAGAAACTTGCTAGAGCAAATTGTACTTCCTCAAGTTGTTAACGCAGTCCTTTTGCAGAGAGGGCAAGAATTCTTCTGCATGAGCCACTCGGTGATGCAATCAAAATGGAAGTAGTGCCCACAGTCAGCAAATCCAATGGTCTGCCCATCACAAAAGTTGTCCTACCAAAACAAAAAGGTATTTATGAGTAAGGCTATCTAACTTACTTGCATAGGAGACAACCAAATGAAATAAGCCCTTACCAAACAAATACAACACCTATCGCTGTCATTCACAGATATTGCGATTGACTGATACTTGATGCACTTCATACGTGCTAAAATGACTTCCTTGCTCAATCCTGTACTGACATATCCAACCTGGTCTTGAAAGGCTAACAAAACCTAAATCCCATACCAGAAATTGTGAGGGAAAATATTTCATAAAGAATAATAGATTTTTATACTATTTTCTTCTTGTTTGTCGGTTATTACCTCATAACTCATGTTCTCTATGCCAACATAAAAAGTTTGACGCGTACCAATTTGTCCTCCACCATGTTGTGCCTGAAATGTCACATGCAACTTGTTACAACATCCAAGCAAATGCTATGGATCAACTATTAATTGTGATTCAGTCAGAACATGCATAGTTTGCTTATCAAAGAAATATTAACTAGTAAGGATATTTTGCAATATATTGAAATCATTATCACTTAGAGATCTCATGTGAAGTGATAATTTCCTGCATTTCATATACATAATGACTAGCTTGCTCGTGGTGGCCACTGGAATTAGCAACTTTAGATGCAAAAATAACTTTGTAAACTCCAAATTAGTAAATTAGGATACCAACAACTCGAAAAGCTTCTATATTGTCAGAAATACGTCAGTCACATGACCCTGAATTCAAGAATTCATAATCAGGTCTTGAGGAGTTTCAAGTATAGACAGGAGATCGAGGCTTGAACTTTGCGTGAGAAAAATCAAAGGGGACATGGTTGGATTTTACATCGAATCGGAAAACTAAATAACCTAGTCACTGATTTGGGTTAGAGTTGGAAAGGGAGCAAAAGGATTATACATCACGATGTAATCTTGTTAAATGCTTGCAAACAGGACTCGTTTGAGCATCACATGATAATAATATTTAAACCAAAGGATTTCAAAAACTTATGCCTTTTGTCTATTAACTCAGCTCTAATGTTCTCTTTACTATTTGAATAGCCAGTTTCAAGGATTGTCACAGAAAAGCAAACTTGCCCCAGGGCTTTCAAGGAAGACGCAAATCTCATTAGACTATCAAGTAATATGACTTGCTTTTTTGTTTCTCAATTTTGTTAAACTCAACAACAACAACAACAACAACAGCAACAACCCAGTAAAATCCTACTAATGGGGTCTGGGGAGGGTAGTGTGTACGCAGACCTTACCCCTACCCCGAAGGAGTAGAGAGGCTGTTTCCGAAAGACCCTCGGCTCAAAAAAAAAAAAAAAGACAAAATGACAAAAAGGAAACAATATTAGTATCACAACAACAATCATAGGAAAAATAGGAACACCATGAAATCTAGAAGAAAGATGCAAAGCAAAGGGAGATAATATTAGTAAATATTAGTATCACCACAACAATCATAGGAAAAATAGGAACACCATGAAATCTAGAAGAAAGATGCAAAGCAAAAGCGATAGCCAGTAAATAGGACATGCACTGAAAAGCGAAATAGAAAGCCACAACATTTCTAATAGCTATCTTAGACAAAAATCCTACATGACTAGTCCCACAATGGTACGAAGTAAGGCACGACTCAACTATCTCCTAACCTACAACCCTAATCCTCGACCTCCACATCTTCCTATCAAGTGTCATGTCCTCGGAAATCTGGAGCCTCGCCATATCCTNATTACTTTTTCTTCTCATAATTAATAGTATACAGTAGTTTTTCAAGTGGATACTTGATTTGGAAGTATAGCCTTATGAATGCATGCATATAATGTCACCACGAATAATATTGAAACTAGTCAATCTTATCAGTTATGAATTTTATATCCAACTTTCCACCCAAAAAAACAAAGGACGGAAAAAAAATACACGGGTAATAGCTCTAATGTTTGGAACACTGCTAGCTGCACATAAATGTGTATGTCAACCCATATGCATGTCTACAATATTGATCAGTTGGGGCTTGAAAAATAAAAGTTAATTAGAGATTTTGAAAGAATGAATCAGGGGAACATGCTCACGACCTGAAATAGATTTTTTAGTTCAACACCATGATTCCTCAGGATAAATGCAGAATAGCATTTATTACCATGGAGATTTAACAACTAAGCACATCCAATCATAAGCACGTTCAATAGTTAAAAGCATAAGCATATCCGTATGCTAAAAGCATAAGTATCATCCATTCATTAAAAGCAAATTTCTTGTGCGATAAGCCTAAGCTAGTTACTAAATCAAGTATGTGTATGAGTAAGCTTAGGTGAAGATTGGTATAAATTTATAATTAGAAAAAAGAAGGGAAAAAGAAGCTAAATAAAAGAGAAGGCGAAGAAAACTAACCATGTGAAAATTGTACGGATGCAGTGGTGTAGGACCAGGTCCGTGGTTCACTTGTCTCAGCAAATGATGATGCAAAAAGTCATCACCCATGAACCTCGGGCTGTGATTTACCCGGAAAATTACTTGTTGAACTGCAAAACTGGAGTTCACCATGTTCTCTCCTGTAATTACTCTCTCAGCTCCTGGAGCAAGACTAATTTGTTGAAACTGAGAAGCAGGAACAAGCGGCAGGCTATCTTGACGGGAAATCACCTCACTTCGAATTGTTCCAGTCATATGATACACTGACGGAACCTGGACAGAGAAAGAGCTATACGTCCAGTTCCATGGCATATGTGGCAGTGGTACAAAGAAATTAGGAGCATGCATGATCGGTAGCATTGCTGCTGGAATCCAGCAGGAAAAATAATTTCTTTCAGGGTGGTATGCGATTGATACATTTGCCGAAATTATTGTTGGACTCCAGTTAGAATAGTTACTTCCTGAGCGAGAGTGAGAGCTTGCCAAAGCTGCTGATGACCCATCTGCACCATTTTCAAGGTTCAGATTAGCTACCGCTGGCAGAGACAGATTGATTGACCGAGAAGCCCTTTGTTCTGAACCCAGCATATATGGAGTGTGTGAACCATGGTAAGGTGTCATATTAATGGGAATTAAATTGGATCGACCAAGACTTGCACCACCAGCATGGTTTCTAGTGGGTAAGTAAGAGTTACCAGAATCACGCTGCATTAGAGTTGATTTTGCTTTCCGTTTAAAAGCTCCGTTATTTAATTAAGTCCAGAAAATTCTCACAGTGCTCCTACGCCTGATCACAATGATACGCTGATGTTAATGATAATTAGCTATATAAGTACTTTACATGCAAAACATCAGTATAATGAAGAATCACGTCCAAGTAATCAATTACCCTTTTTCCTTCCTCTCATACCAACTTGAAGGAAAGACTTAAAAAATAAAGCACCAATTACCGAAAAACAAGCATGCAACTGTATTTTATTAAAAGAAATAAGTGTAATACAGAATATAATATAACTTCCAAAGTTTTCCATTGGCCTGAAATCACATACAATGTCATCAATCTATATATAGGTCCGGTAGTTGTGGTCCTGTAGTTGTATATCTACTTTACATGTAACACACCAGTAACTCAAGAATTCACTCCAAGTAATGAACCCAATGAATCTTTTTCTTTCCCTACATACCCACGTGAAGGAAAGACGTAAAAGTAAAGTATGCAACACCAATAATGAGTCATAAAACCACATAATTTTAGAAAGAATAGGATATAACTTTCACCATAATCCATCCAACTATACAAAAGATATTCCCATTCCAAAGGAAACCTGTCAATGTAGGTTTACTGACAGACATCAGCTTATGAAATTTAAACAAATGATTGGGAGTTGTAAGAGCCATAATATTGAAACCAGAAAATATTATTTTAAGCATCGCTTTCATCTACACTGAAGTAATTTTTGAGAGGTTAATACTGGTTAGAATGTTTAATGGAACTGAGCTAACCAAAGCCACACCTCTCCGGGAGCATGAATTATGGTATATACTTAAGAGAAGTTTCATGTGAGTTGAGAAACAGACTTTCTTCCTACGTGTGAGACTAGAATCACAAATATCTTGAAAACCTGAAAACAACATAACCATAGAATTGAGAAGCAAAAAGATACCCATAATTCTACCTATAAAAAAAGTACGAAAGGAAGAAACAAAGACACCCTGAGTTATGAAAGAGGAATCTTTTTGAATGGAAATGCACTTCCTTTGCAAAACGTAGCAGATTTAGATTCACTTTTGGAAACCTAATCCGATAACCGTGAGTAGATAGAGGCAGCGCAACAGAAAGTGATATTATCACTATAGTCAATAAGGCTTAACACCACTACGAGCCTCCACAAAAGTTACAGTATCACAAAAACTTGCTTCATAAAATCTCAAAACCTCTAGAAGATAGCATCCAAGAAAACAGGTGAGTGAAAAATTAAGTCTCCTATCCTGTAAGATATATGAAATTCCGAAACTTTATATAGATGGTTTTCACAAGAGAAGGGATGACTAGGTTATTTTGCGTCGTGCATGCTTAAAGTCCAGTATACAAGCTGAACATTTTGCTTGAGCTATATTTGTCATGCTACTGTATTTGAACCTTAACTTTCTAATTACAAGGGACAAGCAAAATAAATAGTGCATCGATATCATAATATCGGATGGGTCTATATGTTCAATTCGAATGTAAAGGATTTTTACTCTTCAAATCTACTCAGTCTTGGTTTCCAAGTATATCTTGTTTTTGTTCAATGCAGTTATTAAATGGTTTGGCAATGTTATATATAGACCTCTATATGCACTGATCTGCAGATACAACACTCTAATGATTGAACGAGATAAGAAGGACGAACTAAACCTAAAACTACATGGTGAAAGTTGATCATAAGATTTGCAACTTCTCGCAGTCAATGTTGATTTAACAAAAAAAGAACATAATAGAAGCAAATGTAGAATTAAAACTTAATAATTGTTGTGGTTTCACTTACATTAGGTTAGAATTTACCAAGATTCTTCTTATTTTGCATAAGATTTGTTTCTTCATTTAGAGATTAGCTTGAGATTTTAACAAAGTCCAGTTTCAAAGGACCATTAATGTATCTTAAGAATCAATTTATTTTGTAGTGGAACAACAACAACCCAGTGGAATCCCACAAGTGGGGTCTGAAGAGGGTAATGTGTACGCAAACCTTACCCTTACTCCGGAGGAGTAGAGAGGTTGTTTCCGATAAAGCCCTAAATAGAACAAACAGATAAAGAGTATTCATATGATCTATCAAACTGGTTCAGAATTGAGATATAGCTGATTGATTGATTGGAAGCTATGAAATAATATAAACAATCTCAAAAGGAGAATTCACCCAAAAAAGCTCATTAATTGGAAGTTTATAAAAATCATACCTTAAAAAAAAGAAGAAAAAAACAAATTCATATCTCAATTAAATCTAACAAATGCAGAACATCAACAGTAATAACAAATCTCTGGGAATGGATACAATCAATATAGGTTTAAAAAAAAAGGGAAAAGAACACTTACCCTGAAGAATGAGACTGATCAATCTTGCTTCAAAACCCTTAAGAAAAATGAGAAACCTTTGCAACTCTGGTGAATTTAAAGGTGTTGTGGGGTTAAAAAATGAATACAGATTGAGGTAATAAATAAATTTACAAAAACCAGGATGAGGATGTAATTAAATACCTTCCATTAGAGGACAGAAGACTTAGATTTTGCTTAGATTACAGATTGTGCATTACTGATTAATCACAATTCAAGCATTCTTTCCACTCCCCGTGGCATTTGGGTACCCACCCCACCCCTTTTTCCAAGGTGGGTATTGGCATCTTTCTTCTTCGCCATGTTCGTCCAATTTTTTATCCACCTGGCTGCCTCCGTGTTGAGTCTGTTGTATTGTTTTTCTTGTTCTTCGCCTCCTTTTTGTGTAACTGAAAGTTGTCGCCATTAATTCATATTCTTCATTCAAAATTCCACTAGATTTATTGGATCTGGTTAAAAGTTGGCTTCTTTATCTTTTTCCCCTTTCTGCAGGTTAAAAGTTGATGTAATCTGGGTTTCCAACTAGGATTTCAAATATTCTCTTTATATAGTCAAGGTCAAGGGCACCACCTTCCCCTACCCCACAAAAAATCCAAACCAGCCCCACAAAAAAACCAAACCAAGTATACGGTTGGAACTTTTTTTCCTGAAATATTTATATTTTCTAGACTAGATACGACTTACGAGCAACAATATGGGTGTACTGTATTTTTGTGTAATTCTCCTAAAATTTAAAGGTTTACCAAAAAAAAAGTTTATAGTTTTCTTATTAATCATGCATAATATTGTTAATAAAAGCATAATGGGCTACGAAAATTTGAAAATCAAATTTGGATAGTGTGGCTGTATAAAGAAAAATATGACATGACACGTGGTCGCTTAAAAGAAGGACACGTGAAACACAACATGTGGAATACAAGATGGGGATGGCTACCGGACATAGCTATTCTGTTTGTCACCGGGAGGTATAACAATTATAAAATGAGTATTAAATGCTTTACGCCCGGTAACATTTAATACATAATATTTTGCAGCATTAAGGATGATGGACTGTTACAAGGAATTTGGCATTTATGTCTAACGTTGCACTTCATCAATGGCCCTCATAATTGATATATAAAGAAGTGCATGATCATAGGACTTCTTTCCCTAGACATACATATAAATAGAGAGCTCAGTTATCATTGTAAGGGAAACGAATTTTCTGGCTAACTTACACTACATTCTATACAGCATTATAATACAAATTTATACTCTCGCTTTTCATCTCATCATTGTTGTGCCCGAAAATTCTGTTCCTGGACTCATCAGCTTTGTCGTTCTATCTATATTGTAAGGCTAAGTATTTTATATCTCATCAATTATTTCATTATCTTTTGGATCAAATTAATTCACTTGTTTAGAAACCACAAATAAATTCAATTGTACCATTTTACGGATAAATATTTTGGCGCCCACTGTAGGACCTAGATAGTCGTGCGATTAAATTGATCCTTGTCTTTTTTGCTAATGTATTTTGATTACTTTGTCCTAGCAAAAAATGACAAAAAAATGAAAGATAACGTTGTTAACGGCACGCCCAACCCTGAAATTCAAGGGGAACAGCCTCATTTCGAGGATTCAATCAGTGACACTCTCAATGAGGGGAATGACGCCACACCGGTACATGACAGGCGGTACCCTCGACAGGTTGGGGAGGCACTCCTGATGATGCTGATGAGGAGTATGTAGCGGATGCAGTAATGGTCCTGCAAGAGCAACAGGCAATCATTCTAGGTCATCTCGCACGGCAAGATCAGGTTATGATAGAACTGAAGCAGGCGCTATCGGGTACCTCAAATAATGCAAACAGGCGAGATCCAGTTCCTCCTGATGTTCCCGCGAACCAGATGATGCAGAAATTTGATAATAACACTCCTAGAGGCGAAGTTGGCTCCGACGAGGCTGGGGGGAGCAGATCCGGCCTCAACAACGAGAACGATCCGTTCAAGGATGAACTTTTGCAGTTCATGAAGGAAGTAAACGCCTACATGGATCAAATTTCGAGCGCACCACCAGTATTAAAAGGCCCAAACTCGAACAAGTATATTCAATTACCGTATAAACCGAGCGCAGCCCCGGAATTAATACCGAAGCGGTTCAAAATACTTTAAGTGCCAAAGTATGACAGAACATCATATCCACATGAGCACATTACCACCTACACAACCACAGTGAAAGGAAATGATTTGGCTCCTCACGAAATTGAATCTGTGTTGCTAAAGAAATTTGGTGAGATCTCGTGATGGGAGTTTTAACGTAGTATTCATTATTGCCCAAGCATTCCATAGATTCATTTGAGATGCTCGCGGATTCTTTCATCAAGGCTCACTCCAGTGCCAGAAAAGTACAAGCCCGAAAGGTCGACATATTCAAGATCGCGCAGGGAGAATCCGAGTTCTTACGAGAGTTCGTTACCCGGTTCCAGAAGGAAAGGATGCTACTACCGACAACCCTAGATGAATGGGCAACTGAAGCGTTGACCAAAGGTTTAAATTCGAGAAGTTCGGACGCTTCCCAGAAGATGAAGGAAAGTTTGCTCGACTTTCAAGCGACGACCTGGACAAATGTCCATAACCGGTACAAGTCAAAAATAAGGATCGAAGATGATCAAGTTGGCTTTCCATTGTCGACCAAAGGATGGGAGAAGAATAGAGAAAAAATGAAAGATGATATTGACACAGATAGACGGACTTTGAGAGGTCATTTTTTGCCCTATGAGTGGACAGAAGGTCATGGCAGGAGCTTCCGGACAGCAGACAAATTCATCATTGATAGAAGGACTGATCGTGGCCGTAATAACAGATCGCTACAGGATAGAGAGATCTCGGGGTCACGAGATTCTTCTTACCCGAAGTTGTCGGAGTATAACTTCAACGTCAGTGTGGTGGAGTTGGTATCAGCCATGAGAAATATCAAAGAGGCACGATTCCCAAAACCTATGAAATCTGATCCCAGCCGGAGGAATCCCAATTTATGGTGTGAATACCATGGCACTAATGGCCACCGGACTGGGGACTGCCGACACCTCCGAGAATAAGTGGCAACACTATTAAAGAATGGTCACCTCAGAGAATTCTTGAGTGATCGAGCTAAAAACAATTATGGTCGGAATAGGGGCGACGCGGAACCCTCGAAAGCAGGAGAAGAACCCCCATGCCAAATGATCAACATGATCTTTGGAGGGAATGAGACTAATGGGTTACCTTTTCAGCAGCAAAGAAGACAAAAGTATCAATAACTCATAGTAAAAGGCTTCGGGAAGACGATATCACATTTACGGACGAAGATGCAGACGGATTGCTGCTATCGCACAATGACACACTCGTAATTTCTTTGAATGTGTTAGATTTTAAAACGAAATGTGTTTTAATGGATCCAGGAAGTTTAACTAATATCATACAATGGAGAGTACTGGAGCAAGCTAAACTCGCCGGAAACATTATCCCAGCAACGAAACTCCTCGTTGGATTCAACCTTGCAAGCGTGATGACCCGGGGAGAAATTTTGGTGCTCTCGGATGCTGAGGGAGTAATGAAAACAACTATCTTCGAAGTGGTAGATGGAGACATGGGGTATAACATCATCTTGGGAAGACCATGGCTGCACGAGATGAAAGTTGTGCCTTCAACATATCACCAATTGTTAAAGTTTCCGACACCCGAGGGGATCAAACAGATAAGGGGTGATCAACCGGCAGCAAGGGAGATGAATACAATTTTGATCTCCAATAGCAAAGGAAATGAACGTGCGGCATAGAAATTACCAAAACTGGCACTTGCGCCCCGAACCAGAGTAAGTTAGCCCGGGGACAGAAGAGTCGGAACAATATCAGGTACCAAGGTATTTTTAAGTACCAGAAGAGACGGACGCGACGAATTCCACGGCAGAAGAACTGGAGCAAGTTGAGTTGTTCGAAGAATTCCTAGAAAGGAAATTCCATTTGGGAACAAGACTGCACCCGGAGCTCAGGTCTGCTTTTATCGAATTCCTTAAAATTAATGTTAAATGTTTTGCATGGTCGCACGAGGATATGACATGAATCTCGATGGAGATAGTCGTGCACAAGTTAAGCTTGGATCCCAACATACCTTTGGTAAGGTAGAAGAAGTGCCCCATTGCCTAAGCGAGGAATAAATTCATCAAAGAAGAGGTAACCCATTTACTTAAGATTGGTTCAATCTGAGAGGTAAGATATCCTGACTGGCTAGCCAATATAGTAATAGTTCCTAAGAAAAATAATAAATTTCGCATGTGCGTAGATTATAAGGATCTTAATAAGGCGTGCCTAAAATACTCATTCCCATTGCCAAATATCGATCAAATGATTGATACCACGGCCGGGCACGAGTTAATGAGTTTCCTCGATGCTTATTCTGGGTACAATCAAATCAAGATAAACCTAGAATATCAGGAAAAGACTTCGTTTATAACGAATTTTGGCATATATTGTTACAATGTGATGCCCTTCGTTTTAAAAAATGCCGGAGCCACTTATCAATGGCTCGTGAATAAGATATTCGAGAAACAAATTGGAAAGACTATGGAAGTATATATAGACGATATGCTCGTTAAGTCTTTGAATGCAGGTGACCACATGAAGCATTTGCAAGAAACATTCGACATCCTGATGGAGCATGATATGAAGCTTAACCCCAAGAAGTGTGCTTTCGGGGTCAGTTCGGGTAAGTTCCTAGGATTCCAAGTCTCACAAAGGGGAATCGAGGTAAATCCTGACAAAATCAAGGCCATAGAGGACATCCCGGATCAATTGTCTAACGTAAAAGAAGTCTAGAGGCTCACAGGGAGATTGTCAGCTTTGAGCAAGTTCATTTCTCGTTCATCGGAAAAATGTCATCGCTTCTTCGCACTACTCAAAAAGAAAAAGAATTTCGAATGGACACCGGAGTATTAGCAAGCCTTGAAGGAGTTGAAGAAATATTTGTCAAGCCCTCTGTTTCTCTCAAAACCAAAAGAAGGTGAAACGTTGCTAGTCTACCTCGTGGTTTCAGAAGTTGCGGTAAGTGCAGTTTTAGTCCGGGAGGACGAAGGTACGCAATCTCCCATTTATTACGTTAGTAAAATTTTAACGGTAGCAGAAACTCGCTACCCACATCTGGAAAAGCTGACCTTAGCTCTCATAGTCGCCGCTCGAAAGTTGAGGCCCTACTTTCAATGCCACCCGATAGCTGTGGTGACTACTTTCCCTATGAGAAATATCCTTCACAATCCTGAGCTCTCGGGTAGATTGGCCAAATGGGCCGTCAAAATGAGCGAGTTCGATATAAAATATAAACCGAGGACTACAATTAAGTCGATTTCAGTCTGGGAACTCAACACGAGCAAGTTAGGCCCAACATGGAAAGGCCCTTACCGGGTTTCAGCTATCACTGGGAAAGGATCATATGAGTTGGAGAACCAAAACGGAGCCCAATAACTGGAACTTGGCTCACCTCAA